AACCAATCAAAATTAATCATTTCAATAACAATTAGGAAATGATCGACATAAAAATCGACCAATCATACAAATGTCTGTCATGCTGGTAGTATGGTACGAATAAAAAAATACTTCTGGGGAAGTAGTCTACTGAAGGTTCTCTATTCTCTACTGTTAATAAGGTCCTGAAACCCTGAAGACTTGAACGAAAAAAAATGTAGTCTGAAAGTTTCGATGTTGCTTTCCTGTGTGATATTCTACTATTGAATATGGCAATTCGTGACGTCATTCGTGATTTTATGTGTAACTGATGTATAGTATATAAATACATTCTTCACAATAATCATTTATTTTCTTATTCTCTAATATCTCCGAACAATATCTAGTAAGTAATAATATGTAATAAATTTACAACATCTCTTCTATCTAAAACCTAAAATGTATCTCGCAAGCTCTTTCTCTTATTTCAACAACACGATATACGGAGTAACTCTCCACCCCAACTTAGACTTCAGGATTGAGTTCATTCAAGCTATGCCAGGAAGCGCTATGATTTATTTCACGAATGCGACGGTAAATTTTCAAATAATTTATATTAAACTGAACTATAAATTCATGTTCCATTTTTTGTTATTCTATTGATAGATCCCCCTTAACGCCAGCAATATAGTACTTTCCAATCCTCAGTTTACCATCATAGACTCTCAGGAAAATAACCTAAATACAGTAGTTCTCAATAGAATAACGTGTTTTATTGTTTTTGAAACCAGAGAGTACACAATAAGCCTAGGTAGACAAGTTGTTTTTATGCTGAAAACTCAAATTCAGCAATGTACAATCGTTGGTCTGGCCTCAACTACTTTACGATTCCATAACAGGCAAATCAGATGACAGTTATTATATTATAATGTGATGGCGTTTATCTATTTTTTTTAAAATTTTTAACTTTGCATTATTGGATATTTTTATGTATTGCTGTAATAAAAATAAATTCAACACATATTTATAAATTTAAAAATAAAATCGAATATCATATTCTTTATTATATTTTTCGTTATAAGGTAATACATTGAAGTAAGGAAAAATAAGTTTAAAGAAAGATATTAGAGATTTGTGAAAATAGGTTCGTGGCATTTTGCAATTCACGAATAAAATATCCAACATCTGACTAGGATTCTCTAAAAGCATTTGATGTAATGCATATAATATGGTTCATTCCCAATGAATTTATTTTATCTGTATTATGTTTAGTAATCAATTCACGAAAAGTAAAAATCATGTGACACCATAAAAAAATTCATGCATTTTTTACCAAGAAAAATTTTTATTAATACATGCAAAAATAAAAGATCAGGACTTAACCCATGATACATATTATTTTTTGATAATTTTTTTGATTCTAGCCCTCTTGCTAGCTGGGGAACTATCAACATTAACCCTATCTTTTAACAGCCCAACAATAATACTTATTACCCTTTTCATGTTGCTTCGAAGTAATTCAGGGTTTTCTTTAACGGTAGACTTCATAAGATTGATCTGATATTCGCTTTCACTCGTAGAGTATATACCATCTGGAGTATATATGATAAAGTGCCACTCTATACCTGTAGTCACAATACTATAGATATAGTCAAAATAGTCGTTCCTAAACGCTTGATCTGCAGTTTGCTTCTTCTTATTTGTCTGGAATGCACTTTCAAGCTGGGCCAAATTCTAAGAAAAATAAAATGTGTTAATATTGAATCTTCTAAAAAACACAGATCTGTGTAGTAGATGTACCTGCGTATATCCGATCTTAATATTACAAGGCTTTTCTTCGGTAATACATAAGAGGTCTTCTAGAGCTTTGATTATATAGTCAACTCGGCCAGTTAAATCTTCTCCTGAAATATCCTTTTGCAACACTATAAATATATCTTGAGAGGTGAGTTTTTTGGCGATGGCAATTGATGCATGTAATATAGCTGAAATAAATTCACAACGCGTTGCCTCATTAGCATCAGTCATGGTTTTCATGTTCGAAAGTTTTAAGATAATATCCTTCATACAGTGTTTGAACGCTTTATCATCATTACTAATCTCCTCGAAGACTACAGAGAAAAATAAAGTTAATATAGCTATCTAGTCAGTTTGAAAATTAATTAATTACCTATCAGGAGTAAACTGCTTGATGTTTGTTATATCTTCTCCATTGATCTTATTTCTACGTAATATTTCTTTCAAGTCATCAAGAGTCTTAAGCGAGGAATAATTTCGTAACTTCTGGCTGAAACCTTTAATAAATTTTGCTAGTGTTGTTGTGGGACCAGCTTTCAAGCTATAACTTTGAAAATCCTCTTTAGTTGTATCAAGAAAGGCAAGGCCAGAAATTTCTTTTTTGTGTAAAATTTCGAAGTAGGTCTCCTCTAACTTCAAGTTTTTCTTCTTTAAATATTCAATAAGCTCCTCTGTATTAAAATCATTAACAACGTCCAACATCGTTCTAATGGAAATTTCTTCCATTATTGAGGCGGGTGAAGCAGGTAAAGAAGTTTGTGAAAACATAGTTTTTATATATGTGTGTTTGTGCTTGCAAAAAAATATGCACTTGTTATAGGTAAAGCTAATTTATGAATATAAAAGTATTTTTGTTTTCTGACGCTCGGGAGAAATGATAGATTTTTTTGTATCGATTCATAACTGATAATGCTTTTGCTCAATATATATGCAATTAAGATGTAGTACAGAATTATCAGACGATTATATTACATCATTACACGTGACATTTTTCAAGATTTACGATAAGAACATAATATATGCTTTATTTAAAAAATAAAAAAAACTTGCCGGAAGGGTCCCAGAGGAACTAAGCCAGCCTAAAATACATAAAATTTGCGACTATAGCGCTACATAATACAGAAGATTATTTGGGGTATACAGTAAAATGGAAGTGCTCTGCTTTAGATTCCTCATCAAAAATATCGATAAAATCTTCATTCATAGCCATTTCCCCTTCAATAGTGCTTCCAGCTTGAATTATACAAATTTTGAGAGGGATTTGATTAAATGGTGCCCCCAATCTACTTTGAATTGCAGTCTTGAGATCACTATAACCACTACCTCTGCGAATTGTAATCGATTGCATTACTTTAATGCATGGAATATTCATAAGTTTTCCTATAGAAATGATAAGACAATTGAGAGTAATGTTGTTATCGTCCATTTCGACTCCTAAATGTAAGAATCAATAGTGAGAAAATTGCTTGGCCCATTCGCATTAAAGAACATATATTGTACATACTTTATTTTGCGTTATTTTCTCTAGGAAATATTTTTGTGGAAAGTTGGCTGAACTTCCACATACCATTACATGCTTTATATCTTGCTAGAAAAAGTTAAGGAGGTATGAGACATTATTAGCATTGTCGTCTGATGCCAAGAGCTCTATAAAAGCACATGCAAATGGAATCTCATACCTTTTTCACATGAAGATCTACCGAAAAGACATATAGTTAGTTTTACGCCTAGCGATCTCAGAATTGTGAGTCTCTTAGCCTTTCATAACATATGCTTTTGTCAGCACTATTTGCTTATATGGTAGGTTCTGTGTTGCATGTAAACCTTCTTCACATTTTTCTCATGTTTGTTTGGGGAAAAAATAGAGGTATTGGTTAGTATATATAACTTCTTTTCGATATGTGAAAATTAATATGTCACATGAGACCTGACCGATGATCCACATTTTTTTTTTCTATCACACAGGAGTAACCTGCTTGTGATGCAAAAAAAATTCCGATCAATGATCACTGCTCCGGACTAGTTAAATCAGTAGAGTACCACCATTCCGTAGAGCCGTATCCATAATTATCAGAGGAGGCACATTGTTATTATAGGTGACTTCTTCATCCTCGCTCTCGTCCTCAGATCTAGAACATTTAGACTCTGTTTCAGTGTATTCCAAATCATAATATTCACTTAGATCAAGATTTCTCATAACTTTATGATGTTTGAAAAATTTGGTTATTATGATTTCTTTATCTAAATCCGTTGCAGTGAAATCAGGGAATAATAGCTCGTAAAATGTATACAATGAAAGAGTAATTTCCAAAGATTTTTTCTACAGCGATATTGTCTTTTTTCCCTTTCTTGCTCTTCGTTCTCTTTAGGTTTATTAATGTATATTGATGGGTTTTGATGTCTGTCAACAGCATATCCTGTATGCATTAGCATACATTTCCTAAAACTAAATCGTATTTAGGCTTATCAACAACTACAAAATTGCTGTATCTATTTTGCGCATGCAAGGTACTATCTCATCAAAGATATTTGGCAAAGTGACAGAAACTTCTTCTCTATCAATCCAACCCCTCCTCATCACTTTCTTGCTAGCATTTGTTACGCCAATGCCAAAATCTCTTACTGCAGGATATCTTGACCCATATTCTTTAGAAATATATAAATCCATTTTTTAGCAAGCACCTTACTAATGCTACCATGAAAGGATTTAGGGTCAATCAGTGTTTTGACAGTTACTTTAGCACAAGTGAATGTATAATCCACTATTAATCTTTTACGAATTTCTCGAAGCGTCTTATCTTTCCATATATTATTTATACTGCAACATTTTTTAAGTTCCTGTATCGATAAATTCTTTAGAATAAATGGTATTAGTTCAGGCATAAGCCGATCAAGCAAATTAGTTGTATGTATTTTATATGATTAGAAGAAATTTCAATCAGAAAAAATAGAGATACTGGTTAACATATATTTTTTCTTTTCGATTATGTAAAAATTAATATGGCCATGTGATCCGCATATTTTGTCGCACAGGAGTACATGCATTGTGACTCAGCAAGTTCTTCAGTGACCACTGCTCCGGACTAGCTAGATTAGTAGGAGGCTTAAGTAAATGTTCAAATATTTTAGACAAAGGTTTTTTAACTCCAAATTCATGCACACGCTTTTCATTGACAGGTGATAATCCACTAATAAATTTTACTTTTACGACTATATCATCTAAATCCTTGCCATAACCTATAGCATATAACTTTATCATTTTAATGTATTCGCTTGCAGAGCTATCAAATTGTAATGGAAATGCTACTTTATTTACCTTTTCTATCTCACATTGGAACTTCTCTATATCGGATTGATCGACTTGTGCTATATTGCCCATGGCCTGTATTATAGTTATGTTAATATATCTAATTTATTATAGCAAAGTAAAAATAACTGACTTGATGGTTGTGGCCTAGCAAAATCTTCTGAGCTGAAAATCACTGCTCTGGATTAGTTAGATTGGTAGAGTACCACCATTCTGATTCTAATATTCTTTTAACAGCTCTATGTCACTGACGCATCTGAGATAGAACCGAATACCGATTATCTCGCATACTTAGATATAAAAGACTCTGAACTAAAATCTGTCCACTAGCAATGTTGTTCTGTGTAAGATGATTTCTAACCATTTCAATGAAACCAGGAGGCGTTATAGTATCCACGAAATCCATGATATTGATATTTGAATTAAGTGAAATGACCTGATCTATAACTTCTTTACTAATTATATAACACCCCCTCAAATTAAGATATTTTAAATTAAGACATGATCTGGCAATTTCTTCAATAGTTATATTGCTAATTTTATAAAAGCTAAGGTTAAGATGCTGAAGCCTTGAGCAAGAACGAATAATATTACAAATTGATATTTCAGAAAATTCTGTGCGATTAGAAATGTTTAGATATTCTAATTTATGGCATGAATTTGCGATTGCAGATATACCTATATCATTTTCTGATTTAAATCTTCTACGTAAAGCAGATATATTAAGATAC